TATATGTGTATATATATATAAAGACCAAATAAAAAGCAATTAGATAAAAATGTTGGGGGGCGGGGTTTCTACCAAAATTTGTTATCTGAAATTGAAAGAATATATATCTACTACTTTACCAAGCTATTAATTTAAAATATATGAAAACCAGTAGTAATTCATGTTCATTATGCTTCCCTCTGAATAAAAATTAAAGGATTATGAATTTGAAGGAGTAGAAAACTTGATGAAGAGTGGGTAAGAGGTTCAAAGGACAAATCTGGAGCATAGAATACTTGGAGAACTTACAACTAAGTAAACAATTCAGTGGGGCATTCTACAGTCCTCGAGAAAATAAGGAGTGAAGAGAAAAAAACCTAAAAGCCTGGATCCTATAATCTTTCCCTTCATATTTGTCCTACTGCAGGCTGCCATATTCTGCAGTCTCTAGCACGCTATTTTATAAAGAAATTATTTTTCTCTTCAGTTTCCTAAAGAAATTATTTGTTCTTATGGGAAAGAGCATGGAAGCACATTATTAACCTTAGAAAAAGATACTAAGCTGGTTTTCTTTTTTTAAAAAAAATCATCATCATTTATTATAATAATCAGTATAATAATACGAGTAGTAATATATAAGTAGGTGGAATATAATAAACGACTTTATTGCTTCTCCTTTAGGATTATTTTGAAGATCGTCCTTACCCATATGTACCACCTCTGAATGGGTTCAATGGCCGACCAACAAATTATTTGCCTCTTCCTTACTATCACTCACTAAATAACAACCCCAGATACCCTGACTTTTATAACCCTGCTGGCCCTGTACCTTCAAACCCCTGGGCACCTCCTCCTAGAGTCCTTCCTTTCTATCCTGGATCTAATTTTCCCTCAGCTGGTTTGTATGGGTCTGCTCCTGTTCCCCCTCCATCTCCTGGAAATGCCCCCAATGCTCCCCCTTCAAGTAATTCTGCCCCTGCAGCATCTGCTGCCCAGCCTCCTGCCGCTAATCCTGCTGAGCCTGAGGCAGCCAATCCTGCTGACACTGCGTCTGCCCCAGCCCCACCTGCTCCAGCCGCTTCTTCTTCAGCCAGATAAGCTGAGCAGGTAAGTTCTTTGAACTTTGTCATTGTGTTCTATGAGATTTGTAAGAGTGAAGAAAAGCACAATTTCCTCACAAGCAAATATGTTGTTGTTATGTGCTATCATGTCAACTATGACTCATAGCAACCCTATGACAATGACTCTGAACCTTTTCTCAGACTGAGCCAGCCTCATCCACCATCTTGGACCTGCTTCACCCCATTGCCATACTCACCGCATCGATCCATCTCGTTCAGGGTCTTTCTCTCTTGTACTGACTCTTTACCCTCCGAGGAATGATGTCCGACTCCAGGGACTGGTCCCTCCTGGCAACATGCCCAAAGTATGTGAGACAGAGCTTCAAAATTCTTGTCTCCCAGGAGCAAATTGGTTTCACCATTTCCAGGACAGTTTCTTCTCTTGTCTATGATTAATATGTTCAATACTCTTCCCCAGCATCACAACTCAAAGGCATCAGTCCTTTATTGTGTAGCTCTCAGATGCATAGCAAACACTTGAGAAGACCATGGCCTGGATTAAGTGCACCTTAAT